TGTGTAAGCTTGTCTATCCCACCAACAGAAGTTGGTCCAATAAAAGATATCACCTCACCCACATCTCACACATATACCTTGACATGAATGAACATAACTCACAACTTTGGGCTAAAATTCCTATATAATAGGTATAATATTAATGTGATGTACAATACATATTAATATGGTGTGCAATACAGAGAACATATACATTGGCTAACAAAAGGAAGAAAGGTAGGTCTAGCAGCTAGATTGTTGGACTGTGACATAGACAACAGATTTTTAAAAACCAAAAAGAAATACTTTTTCACACAATACATGATCAACCTATGGAGTTTGTTGCCATGGGATGTTGTGATGGCCACAAGTATAACTGGGTTAAAAAAATAACTCAAGAGTTCATGAAGGATAGGTTCCTCAACAGCTATTAGCCAAGATGGGCAGTGACACAACCTCTTGCTCTGGATGTCCCTGAACCTCCGACAGACAGCATCTCAGACTGGACTACAAGGAATGGATATCTTGAAATTGCCCTGTTCTGTTCATTCCCTCTGAAACAAGTGACACTGGCTACTGCCAGAAGATAGGATACTGGGCTAGATGAACTCACGTAGACCATTGGTCTGACCCAATATGGCTGTTTTATGAGACCTGAGAGTTCAATTTTTGACTCAGCAACAGACTTCCTGTGTGAATTTGGGCACAGCTGTTAACCTATTCTGTGCCACAGTACACCTTATTTAAAGTGATGTAATAATCCTCTATCTCATAGAGGTGTTTTGACTTTGAACATAAGAGTATTTGGGGATTGGGGGAGCAAGAACTTTTATTTTACTTTGTATAGTGGCTATTTTTTTTTTACAGGCTATGATTCCCACCCACATTGTGTCTTTTGACCAGCTGGTTTAGAAGCTCTGCTTTAGCCTCAATAGTAGCAGTTCATTCTTACAAACACAGGAATCCTGGACTCAATCCCTACCAAGCAAGGAAGTTACCATCTCCTCAAAAAGAAATCAAAGCACTTTGGAGGTTCTTTAGAGATGACCCCTTCTCAGCCCTCCTTACACTGAGAACCTAGGGCCCCAGATCCTGGTGTGGAACCTTTGGGTCTTACCACGGTTCAAACAAACAATTATTATGACAATTCAGCCACACTTTCATAGATTCATAGATTCATAGATATTTAGGTCAGAAGGGACCATTATGATCATCTAGTCTGACTTCCTGCACAACGCAGACCACAGAATGTCACCCACCACTCCTGCAAAAAACTACACACCTATATCTGTGCTATTGAAGTCCTCAAATCGTAGTTTAAAGACTTCAAGGAGTAGAGAATCCTCCAGCAAGTGACCCGTGCCCCATGCTAAAGAGGAAGGCGAAAAACCTCCAGGGCCTCTTCCATCTGCCCTGGAGGAAAATTCCTTCCCGACCCCAGATATGGCGATCAGCTAAACCCTGAGCATATGAGCAAGATTCATCAGCCAGATACTACAGAAAATTCTTTCCTGGGTAACTCGGATCCCACCCCATCTAATATCACATCACAGGCCATTGGGCCTATTTATCATGAATATTTAATTACCAAAACCATGTTATCCCATCATACCATCTCCTCCATAAACTTATCGAGTTTAATCTTAAAGCCAGATAGATCTTTTGCCCCCACTGCTTCCCTTGGAAGGCTATTCCAAAACTTCATTCCTCTAATGGTTAGAAACCTTCATCTAATTTCTAGTCTAAATTTCCTGGTGGCCAGTTTATATCCATTTGTTCTTGTGTCCACATTGGTACTGAGCTTAAATAATTCCTCTCCCTCTCCGGTATTTATCCCTCTGATATATTTATAGAGAGCAATCATATCTCCCCTCAACCTTCTTTTAGTTAGGCTAAACAAGCCAAGCTCCTTGAGTCTCCTTTCATAAGACAAGTTTTCCATTCCTTGGATCATCCTAGTAGCCCTTCTCTGTACCTGTTTGAATTCCAGTTTGAATTCATCCTTCTTAAACATGGGAGACCAGAACTGCACACAGTATTCCAGGTGAGGTCTCACCAGTGCCTTGTATAACGGTACTAACACCTCCTTATCTCCACTGGAAATACCTCTCCTGATGCATCCCAAGACCGCATTAGCTTTTTTCACTTTCCCCCTTGTTAATTGCTTTGCCATTGCTTCCCCTGCAATGAGAATAAATTAATTGAGCTGAAACTTCAGCTGCTGTAAATCAGCTGTGGTTCCAATGGTAACAGGGGATGATCACTTAGAATCATAGAATTTCAGAGTTGGAAGGGACCTCAGGAGGTCATCTAATTCAACCCCCTGCTCAAAGCAGGACCAGTCCTCAACTAAATCATCCCAGCCAGGGCTTTGTCAAGCCTAATCTTAAAAACCTCTAAGGAAGGAGATTCCACCACCTCCCTAGGTAACCTATGCCAGTGCTTCACCACCCTCCTAGTGAAAAAGTTTTTATAATATCCAACCCAAACCTCCCCCACTGCAACTTGAGACCATTTCTCCTTGTTCTGTCATCTGCTTCCACAGAGAACAGTCTATATCCACCCTTTCTGGAACCCCCTTTCAGGTAGTTGAAAGCAGCTAAAAAATCCCTCCTCATTCTTCTCTTCTGCAGACTAAATAACCCCAGTTCTCTCAGCCTCTCCTCATAAATCATGTGCTCCAGCCCCCTAACCATTTTTGTTGCCATCCTCTGGACTTTTTCCAATTTTTCCACATCCTTTTTGTAGTGTGGGGCCCAAAACTGGACACAGTACTCCAGATGAGGCCTCATCTCTTGATGATTACCTGTTCTGTTCATTCTCTCTGGGGCACCTGGCATTGGTCACTGTCAGTAGACAGGATACTGGGCAGGATGGACCTTTGGTCTGACCCAGTATGGCCATTCTTATATTGCCATTGGATCAGAACCCCAACTGGTGTGAAAGGACTTCAGTCTACTAGAGGTGATGATGGGGCCAGATTGTGAACAGTAGGAAGCTGCACTGGAAACAGTCGAGCTTGGACAATTCATACCACATGAATATCTGGCCATTTGATTTTTAAACAGCCCCAGCAAGTAGAAATAATATTTAAAACAAACTAGAGTGGGGCCATTAAAACCCCTTCCCTTCAGCAGCCCCAAGAGGGCATCTCAGCCTTTTGACAATCCTCAAAACCTTGGTAATTTATTTCTCTGCCACCCACCATATCAGCCTGAATGGGTCTTGGGTCCATCAACAGCTGTGATAGCAGAGCCCCCATGCCAGATCCCCAGCCTGCGACTCCGGGTCTCCTTAAGGGGGAGTCTAAGGATCATGATTATATCAATTTTTACCTTCTCCCCTCTCCCCCACACAGCAGATACAGATGAGAAGCAAATAGGGGAGGGTTAATTTACAAGGAGTGGGGACTGCTGCTGGTGGGAATATACAATAAATTACTCCAGGGCTGATGGGCACCTGGTCCCTGGGGTACCCGTAGCTGTGGATGGTTGCAGGTGACACATTTCTCTGCGACTGTGTCTAATTTTTGGCTCAAGGCTCCTGCTATTTTCAGGAAGGAGAGCGGGCTTCTGGCTAGCGTCAGGCAGCGGAGGGGTTAACCTGTGGTCCCAGCCCGCGCTGCTTGTTGCTAAGGGCGGGGAAGTTCCTCTGGATCTTGCAGCTCCGGGGCTGAGCTTCCCGGGTCAGACGCTGCCGCCGCCTCCATCGTGAGCCGGAGCCCGGGCTGAGCCGCTGCCGCTGCCCAGCGGGGTGTGTGCGGGGAGAGCCCTTCCCCAGCGCCCCTCGGGGCCCAGCCGCGGGGACTTTCTCCGGGGGCTGGAAGCAGCCCCGGGCTCTGCCGACACCAGCCCCTGAGCCGGAGCCTGCAGGTGAGGGGAGAGACCCGGGGGAAGGGCTGGGCAGGAAAGTGACTCTGCGCCAGGGTGACCAGACAGCAAGTGTGAAAAATCGGGACAGGTGGGGGGTAATAGGTCTCTATATAAGAAAAAGCCCCAAATATCGGGACTGTCCCTATAAAATCGGGACAGGTGGGGGGTAATAGGTCTCTATATAAGAAAAAGCCCCAAATATCGGGACTGTCCCTATAAAATCGGGACATCTGGACACCCTACTCTGCACCAAGGGCCCCTCCTCACCCCAGCTCTGCTCCTGGGGGAGGGGCGGGGGTCTGCGAGTCCCGGAGCTGCTGCCCTCTCTGACCCCCCCAGGCTCTGCCCCCCTGAGCGCCTGCAGGAGCCGAGCCAGCGCCGGGAGGGAGAGTGAATGCCCCCAGGCAGAGGAAGTAAGTAGTGCCACCTTTATTAATAACAGCCCTAGCACAACCCCCCCCCCCCCAGCCCAAGTTCCAGGTTGTGGGAATGTGCTAATACACGCCAGGGGGGTGGGTTAGAAGCAGTCCAGGCACTTTTGATTAAGGGCAGTGGTGTATCGTTGGGTCTATCTTTAAAAATGAATATGCTGAAAGACTGAAAGGTGACTTTATTACACTGTATAACTACCATCATGAAGAGAAAATGTGTACTCAAGGGCTCTTTAGTCTTGCAGCTGAAAGCTTAGCACGAACAAGCAGCTGGAAGCTGAAGCTAGAGGTAATCAAATCAGAAATTTGTCACAAATATTTAATCATGAAGGTAATTACCACTGGTAAAAATGACCAAAGGAAGTAGTGGATTTTCCATCGCTTGATGTTTTCAGATCAACACTAGATGAACTTCCCAAAAATCAGGCTTTAGGTACATACTGGGATAATTTAATGGCCTGTGATATACAGGAGGTCAGTTTAGATGATCTAATGGTACCTTCTGACCTTAAAGTCTCTGAATCTATGACTCTTAAATTCTCATCCCACAAATACTCTCACACATGTTTAATATTAAAGCATCAGAAAGCTGCGAAAAGCAGCCTTTCAACAGTATCAATGCTCAAAACTGAACCCCCATGGTGCAAACTGAAGCCTCCCCTGTTGCCCTTCTCATGCGGACAGGCTGGAAAATAACATCCACATTTTGCTCCAGATTGTCCCATCAACCTGGGACATGGCTGCAACGGATCCAATGACCTTCGAGGAGGTGGCTGTGCATTTCTCCGAGGAGGAATGGGCTCTGCTGGACCCGTGTCAGAGAGCCCTCTACAGGGACGTCATGCAGGAGAATTATGAGACTGTGACCTCACTGGGTAAGGATTTCCGTTCCCTTGGTTATTAGACAATTTGGAGTCTCTGAAGCATCTGGGGGCAGAGTGAGGGTTAATGAAGTACTTTATGGTCTGGAAGTGTTCTGTGGGGCATATCACTATAGTAGAAAACAGTGAGGAGAGCTCTTCTTGTGTTTGAGGCATGGCCCTGGATCTCAGGAGAGATGGCTTCAGTTCCTGGCATAACCACAGGCTCCGTGTCTGAGCTCTTCTAATTCACTAAGTCTGTGGCTTTCAAAGGGACTCGGGAGAGCTAGACACAGATGCCCCATTAGGTATGTCTTCACTGCAGTTAGACACTTGGATAATAAAGTGGAGAGTGTGTTTATCAAATCTGCGGATAACACCAGACTGGGAGGGATTACAAGCACTTTGGAGGACGGGATTATAATTAAAAATGACCTTGACAAATTGAAGAACTGGTCTGATTTAACAAGATGAAATTTAGTAACGACAAGTCGCAGGGCAAGCACACCCCATCCCCCTGTTGGGGCAGGGTAGGGGCTGTTATAGCCCCGCTGCTGAGTTCTCCTGACCACCCTTAGCCTCAGGGTGTTGCAGCCTAATGGCCAGAGTCAATATAAGTGCCCCCTATTTTGGATGGGGGACTGCATGGCCTGATGGCCAATGGGGAGAAGTGGGCCATCACCTGGGGGTGGGTGGCAGCTGTGGTAAGGGGACCCAGGCCCTCCCTACTCCACTGGGTCCCAGCCCAGGGCCCTGGTGAATGTGAATGTGCGGCGCTGCTATGGGTACCCGCATGGCCCCACAGTATGCCAACATTTTTATGGCTGATTTAGAACAACGCTTCCTCAGCTCTCGTTCCCTAATGCCCCTACTCTACTTGCGCTATATTGATGACATCTTCATCATCTGGACCCATGGAAAAGAAGCCCTTGAGGAATTCCACCATGATTTCAACAATTTCCATCCCACCATCAACCTCAGCCAGGTCCAGTCCACACAAGAGATCCACTTCCTGGACACTACAGTGCTAATAAACAGTGGTCACATAAACACCACCCTATACCGGAAACCTACTGACCGCTATTCATACCTGCATGCCTCCAGCTTTCACCCTGATCTGCTGATCTGAAGGTATACATTGTCCCCAAATGTAAAATAGTTATGGGAAAGGACAAAGTCACAAAGTTCAGCCACCAGGTTAGCCGTGACACTTACATGCCTCCAGCTTTCACCCTGACCACACCACACGATCCATCGTCTACAGCCAAGCTCTGCGATACAACAGCATTTGCTCCAACCCCTCAGACAGAGACAAACACCTACAAGATCTCTATCAAGCATTCTTACAACTATAATACCCACCTGCAGAAGTGAAGAAACAGATTGATAGAGCCAGAAGAGTTCCCAGAAGTCACCTACTACAGGACAGGCCTAACAAAGAAAATAACAGAACGCCACTAGCCGTCACCTTCAGTCCCCAACTAAAACCCCTCCAACGCATTATTAAGGATCTATAACCTATCCTGAAGGATGACCCAACACTCTCACAAATCTTGGGAGACAGGCCAGTCCTTGCCTACAGACAGCCCCCCAAACTGAAGCAAATACTCACCAACAACCACATACCACACAACAGAACCACTAACCCAGGAACCTAACCTTGCAACAAAGCCCGTTGCCAGCTGTGCCCACATATCTATTCAGGGGACACCATCACAGGGCCTAATAACATCAGCCACACTATCAGAGGCTCGTTCACCTGCACATCCACCAATGTGGTATATGCCATCATGTGCCAGCAATGCCCCTCTGCCATGTACATTGGTCAAACTGGACAGTCTCTACGTAAAAGAATAAATGGACACAAATCAGATGTCAAGAATTATAACATTCATAAACCAGTCGGAGAACACTTCAATCTCTCTGGTCACGCAATTACAGACATGAAGGTCGCTATCTTACAACAAAAAAACTTCAAATCCAGACTCCAGCGAGAAACTGCTGAATTGGAATTCATTTGCAAATTGGATACTATTAATTTAGGCTTAAATAGAGACTGGGAGTGGCTAAGTCATTATGCAAGGTAGCCTATTTCCCCTTGTTTTTTCCTACCCCCCCCGCCCAGACATTCTGGTTAAACTTGGATTTATGCTGGAAATGGCCCACCTTGATTATCATACACATTGTAAGGAGAGTGGTCAGTTTGGATGAGCTATTACCAGTAGGAGAGTGAGTTTGTGTGTGTGTGTGTGTTTTGGGGGTGGAGAGGTGAGAACCTGGCTTTGTGCTGGAAATGGCCCAACTTGATTATCATACACATTGTAAGGACAGTGATCACTTTAGATAAGCTATTACCAGCAGGAGAGTGGGGTGGGATGAGGTATTGTTTCATGGTCTCTGTGTATATAATGTCTTCTGCAGTTTCCACAGTATGCATCCGATGAAGTGAGCTGTAGCTCACGAAAGCTTATGCTCAAATAAATTGGTTAGTCTCTAAGGTGCCACAAGTACTCCTTTTCTTTTTACTGATGTGACTGGGGCTTCAGGGCCTGGAGCACATCTGTTGTCAACCTGCAAGGCAAAGGTAGGACTGGTGTATCCTAGAGGACACTTGACACAGTCTTTACCTCATCTCTAGTTTCCTAATTTATCTTCTCCATTGTTAGTAAATGATTCTCCCTCCCCAGGGTGTTCTCCCTCTTATCTTAGCTGGCACAGATATTCTGTCTTTTTAGCCTACTGACCTATAGTCTTATTTTATTTAGCAACAATCTGTTTACCCTCCCTAATCCCATCCTCCAAGTAATGGGGCCTCCCCCCATGTGTCAATTACTCATGTCAGGACAGGCCTCTGCTACCCAGATAAGACTCCCTCATGCTGGAGGCTGGTGATAACAAGGTGACTCACAGCCCTGGATGTCCTGAGATGCATTATGGGGGTGGGGTGGATTGGCTGAAAACTGGTTATACCCCAGATAGCTAAAGAGTGTAGCAATTCTGCTCAACTCACCATGGGAATAAATTAAGGGCGTTCTTTGGGCAGACTGGATGAATCCTTGCTCCAGATTAGTGTGTCACCATGGGCTATTGTATGATTTATAGCCCTATCTCTCTAGGATGGGGGTGGGGAGAGGAAGGAGCCTCTCTGGGCAGGCTATTCAAATCCTGGGTCTGGAACTACTAATAGTCCTGACCTTATGAACAAGATCAACACTTGTGTCCTTCCCCTCCACCACCACCCCCCGCCCCGATACAGGATTTCCAATTCCCAAGCCTGACGTGATCTCCCGACTGGAACAAGGGGAGGAGCCGTGGGTCCCCAATCTCCAGGGCTATGAGGAAAGGGAGATCCTGAGAGAAGCCCACATAGGTAAGGAAACAGCTAAACTGACTGAGAAACCAATTCTTGTATCCTCATGGCAGACGTCACTCACAGGTTTTCATCAAGCTTGCCTGACCCTTCAGCCCCTGCCTTCATCTATATTCAGAGGATGTAGAGGAAGGATGAGTCCCCTCCTCTCTCTCCTCTTGAGGAAAGGGTTTGAAAGGATAGGGTGGATTCAGCTCCTGACATTTCAATCTCCCCAGCAGTTGTGTGTTTGTTCCCCCATTTTCTCTTTCTCTTTCTGAGGTTTCTTTCCCCTCCCACTCTGCCCCAGCACAGGCAGTGACTCCTGTCTGCATTCTCTCTCTGTCCCAGCAGGTAATGCGACACTGAGTAAGAACAAGGAGAATCCTCAACAGCAAGTTCCTGAGCAGGTAGATTTGCACAGGACGGTATCAGGGAAAGCCAACGGGGATGTTTCCCAGAATCCTGATCATGTATATGCCTGGGATAGTCAGCACAGGCCAGAGAGGCAGCAGGGAAACCAGCCAAGGGAGAGACACAGTAAATCCACTCAGAAGAGAAGAGGGGACAACCAAATCAAAGATATTGCTCAGCAGAGAGTCCCCACAGAAGAGAGACCCTACACATGCAGTGATTGTGGGAAAAGCTTCCGGTGGAGATCAGCCCTTATTACTCACCAGAGAATCCACACAGGAGAAAAACCCTACAAGTGCCCTGACTGTGAAAAAAGCTTCAGACAGATCTCAGCCCTCACCTATCATCAGATAATCCACGTGGGAGAGAAACCCTATAACTGCCCTGACTGTGGGAAAAGCTTCAATCAGAGCTCACACCTTATTAAGCATCAAAGAATCCACACTGGTGAGAAACCCTATAACTGCCCCGACTGCAGGAAAAGCTTCAGTCAGAGCTCACACCTCATTATTCACCGGAGAATCCACACGGGGGAGAAGCCTTTTAAATGCCTGGAATGTGGGAAAAGCTTCAGTGTGAGCTCACACCTTGCTGCACATGAGAGAATCCACAGGGGAGAGAAGCCTTATAGGTGCCCCAACTGTGAGAAAAGCTTTAGTCAGAGCTCATACCTCATTATTCACCAGAGAAGCCACACAGGGGAGAAACCCTTTAAATGTCCAGAATGTGGGAAAAGCTTCAGTGCAAGCTCAAACCTTGCTGCACATCAGAGAATCCACAAGGGAGAGAAGCCCTATAGGTGCCCCAACTGTGAGAAAAGCTTCAGTCAGAGCTCAGCCCGCACTAATCACCAGAGAATCCACACAGGAGAGAGACCCTACCGATGCAATCAGTGTGAGAACAGCTTTAGTCAGAGCTCAAACCTTATTTCACATCAGAGAATCCACACAGAACACAAACAGAAGAATTGTCCTGGCTAGGGATGGGCCAAGTGAATAACACTTTTGCCAATTCCCCTGAATCTCAGAAGGGTCAGGCCAGGCTGGAGTGGCCATGCAATGAGGACATGCATCAGTTACTAAAGCAGAGAATGAAAGCACCTGTTAGGGGGCTTATTTCTTCACCCACTTACTTCCCTGGTCCTTCTCACATGAACAGAGAGCAACAATACCCGAAGTCCAAAGGTGCAAACAATTTTATGTTTATTGGGGTGAACTTCCAGCAAGCATGATTCCACTTTCCTTCCTTAGTGTCCCCCTTCCCAGCTCTGACACCACAGAGCTTTACACCTGTGTCCCTGTTCCCATTCCCGCCCTTAGCCAAACATGATTCCAATTTCCCCACCCCCATTCCAAAATCATGGGGGAGGTCCTCAAAGAATCAATCCTGAAGCACTTGCATGAGAGGAAAGTGATCAGGAACAGCCAGCATGGATTCACCAAGGGAAGGTCATGCCTGACTAATCTAATCGCCTTTTATGATGAGATTACTGGTTCTGTGGATGAAGGGAAAGCAGTGGATGTATTGTTTCTTGACTTTAGCAAAGCTTTTGACACGGTCTCCCACAGTATTCTTGTCAGCAAGTTAAGGAAGTATGGGCTGGATGAATGCACTACAAGGTGGGTAGAAAGCTGGCTAGATTGTCGGGCTCAACGGGTAGTGATCAATGGCTCCATATCTAGTTGGCAGCCGGTATCAAGTGGAGTACCCCAAGGGTCGGTCCTGGGGCTGGTTTTGTTCAATATCTTCATAAATGATCTGGAGGATGGTGTGGATTGCACTCTCAGCAAATTTGCGGATGATACTAAACTGGGAGGAGTGGTAGATACGCTGGAGGGGAGGGATAGGATACAGAAAGACCTAGACAAATTGGAGGATTGGGCCAAAAGAAATCTGATGAAGTTCAATAAGGATAAGTGCAGGGTCCTGCACTTAGGACGGAAGAACCCAATGCACAGCTACAGACTAGGGACCAAATGGCTAGGCAGCAGTTCTGCGGAAAAGGACCTAGGGGTGACAGTGGACGAGAAGCTGGATATGAGTCAGCAGTGTGCCCTTGTTGCCAAGAAGGCCAATGGCATTTTGGGATGTATAAGTAGGGGCATAGCGAGCAGATCGAGGGACGTGATCGTTCCCCTCTATTCGACATTGGTGAGGCCTCATCTGGAGTACTGTGTCCAGTTTTGGGCCCCACACTTCAAGAAGGATGTGGATAAACTGGAGAGAGTCCAGCGAAGGGCAACAAAAATGATTAGGGGTCTGGAACACATGAGTTATGAGGAGAGGCTGAGGGAGCTGGGATTGTTTAGCCTGCAGAAGAGAAGAATGAGGGGGGATTTGATAGCTGCTTTCAACTACCTGAAAGGGGGTTCCAAAGAGGATGGCTCTAGACTGTTCTCAATGGTAGCAGATGACAGAACGAGGAGTAATGGTCTCAAGTTGCAGTGGGGGAGGTTTAGATTGGATATTAGGAAAAACTTTTTCACTAAGAGGGTGGTGAAACACTGGAATGCGTTACCTAGGGAGGTGGTAGAATCTCCTTCCTTAGAGGTTTTTAAGGTCAGGCTTGACAAAGCCCTGGCTGGGATGATTTAACTGGGAATTGGTCCTGCTTTGAGCAGGGGGTTGGACTAGATGACCTTCTGGGGTCCCTTCCAACCCTGATATTCTATGATTCTATGATTTCTATTTCCCCCATCCACCCACCCACTTCCTGATTGACTGCAGACTATACAGTAAAACTTGAGTTCTGCTTAGCTATACCTTAACCAATCATTTTCCTGAAATTTAACTAACCAATCCTAACATATTGTAACATGATTATTTAACCAATTATATCGCACCACCTTAATTAGTTTACTCCCAGCAAAATTAATTATACAGCAGACAGGAACAATCACAGAACTAGAAAAAGATTATACAGACAAACAGTAGCAAACTGGGAACTATAATAACAAAACAATACAGAAGTGAGGATTTCACATCCCAGCTATTGATAAGTGAGTTCTTGCCAGACAGGATGCTATCAAACTAAGTTTCCTTTTACATTTTCTAGGCACTTCCCTTTCTCTGGAGGTGATAGGCACTCTCAGGACAGGATTGTATTCCAACAGCCCAATAGCACCTTATTTCAATGCGACTAGTTTGGAATGTGAGGAGGTGTCCGGTCGCTTCCCAGATTATGGCTGCCTCTGCTGCTTAGCCAAAGGCCTTAGCCTAAGAATAGACCTCAGACTGTCACAGTAAGAGAAGGACTTTACACCGGCAGACAGTGATTTTGATTTTTCTTTCTTTTATACCTCTAACTAGCCAAGTGATAAGAATACACCTAAATGCTTAGTGTATAGGCCTTTACAGACAGGCCTGAATATCTATATCCTAACACTCCACCCCTTTTTTTTTCTTTTCCTTTTGGGATCCTCCTGCCCAAGTATCCCTGAAAAAGCATAGGACCTATGGTGACACATTTCCTGATAGGGCCAGGCATCAAGGTGGAAGGTGTCGATATTCCATTTGTCCCACTGCCCCTTGTGTAGTATAGTGCCCTGCACCTTCTCTCGTACAGGCATACCACACCTATTCCAATTAGTGTTCCCAACTTCCCATTATAGTGGGCCCGAAATGGTTGGGTCCACGTTGTCTAGTACACTGCAGGGTTTGGAGGACTTACTACATTACTTATAGGTTATCTTCATATGCAACATAACACAAGTACAGTTAACAATACAAAGTTCACAGGAACACCGAGTCCTGACCACTGCAATATGGTCCAACATCCGAGACACCACCGAGACACTGCCTCTCCTCCTTCAACAGGGTCATGATCTTACGTGTCCAGTTGCTGGTAGTTGCAACAAGCTGCCCCTGGAGGTTTTACTTGCTTTTGTCCAAATCATAAGTCCACTGAATGTTCACAGAGAAATGGGATATTGTCCAAACCAGCTTGACCACTTGGTATGGAATCAGGCAGTATGCCCTGGTTTGATTATTCACAGCAATAAGATTCACAGATTCATTTGTGCACCAAAGTCCAGATAGCAGCATGTAGATGTGTGTAGTTTAGTTATGGGCTGGTGTAATTGTGCCTCCAGTAATATGTACGTTCCCAGCAAAATACCTTATACACAGTACCCCCAATTGTCCACCCCTTGCACAGGCCATTGATTCTGCTCCTCCATAGTCATAGGAGAGGGGCACATCCAAACATCTTCTGTTGATTTACACTATTTTACACACCCCTCCATTGATTCCCAGTGAGCTCCTTAATTTTCCCGCTGGCGCCAGCTTGCTTGTAGAGTGTCTGAAAAACAAAAGAAACAATTTCCACCCCCCTAGTGGGGACAGATTATTGCTTAATAATAATAATTAATAATATCACTTTCTTTTACAAATTTTCTTGCTAATTGCAGGAAAAACAGAAGAATTACCTCCAGGCTGTCCTTATTTTGTTCTATAGTCAGGCTAGTGAATTACCCCACTCACTGGTCATTTATGAAATTCATGAGGTGGTGTACCTCAGTTTCCCCTCTTGTACAACAGACCATGTTTGCAATAGTTTCTCTGCTGTACCTAGTTTTAAGTTTATTCTCAGGTAATAGCTGAGACACAGCTTCAAATTTTAGCACAGTACACATCCTGGGAAAATGCACATTCCTTCCATATAGTTTAACCTCGATAACATTAGCCATATTAATTTTACACAAGGTGTAACTGCCTTCCCCATGCCCACAGAGTTTTCATGCACACCCACCAAAGCAACAATCTGATCCCCTAGAGCCATCCCAAGGCTCAGTGTTCCCATCAGCACCTTCCTAGAACTGAGTTGTGCAGAGGCTGAGGTAAGATTTCCATGCTGTGATGGAATTTGATTATTACTTTTTGAGAAGCTCTGAAAGGCCTCTGTTCTGCTCCTACATTTACGTTGATGCTAGAAACCTAGAACCCCCTTTATCTTGTATACTGTTGTGACGGGATCCCCGGGGTGCAGCCTGGGACTGCTGTGCCCCTTTAACTCCCCAGGTTGGGCTGTCTCTCACAATGCTTTGCTAGTGACCAGCAGCAAACCCCTCCAGGCACTGTTATCACTCAGTACAACTGCATGTGGAGCCCTACACCAAGCTAGATTGCATGAATGCTCCCAGAGTCACTCATGAATCACACAGAGAAAGGCACCAGCCAAATCCCCACCCCAGCTCCCAGCCTTGTACCTCAGGAATATACCATCTTGCATTGCTCAAGATGAGCAGTGCAAATTTATTAATTGGTTCACCACTTCATCAATGGAAAGTGGATATACACCAGCCTTTGTAAACCTGAGCAAATACCCTTACCAAATACTTCAGGCAAACTCACTGGTAAAGGTAAACAGTTAAACAAATTTATTGACTACAAAAGATAGGCAAAAAGTCAGAATGGTTACCAAAACAAAATATATAAGTACACAGTCTAAACTCTCAACCCTATTAGACTGGGTAACATCTAGATTAAGCAGTTTTTCTCACCCCACTGGATAGTGCAGTTCATAGTACACAGGTTTCACCCTTGAAACCTGGGCCAGTCCTCTCTGTTGGAGTCTTCAGAGTGTCCTTGTTGCTTGCAGCATAGGTGGGGACAGGAGAACAGGTCAAGCATGGGGCCCCTGTGTTCTGTTTTATACCCTTAATCCATGTGCTTGGAGAACACAAGTCCAGGCATGCCTGCTGGGCATTGCTGAGTCCCCAGTCAAGGTTGAGCAATTCCCCTGGTGTGGCTTTGTGCAAGTGAATCATTGAATTATAACTTCACTGCTGGACAATGGCTGGTGATGTCTGTTCAGCATCCAGCTGGGCGTTAGTTACCTCTCTTATCATTGTCCCCGGAGAGCTAGTATCTGGGCGCCTCCCAAGCCCACAGCATATTTTAGTGATAACCATACAATACAAATTTCATAACTTAATGATATACATATTTAGATAGAACAATGATTTTCAGAAGATCATAACCTTTCCCCTGATACCTTACATAGCATGCTTTATATGCAAGATCACAATTTTATATATAAATGAGGAATATGAGGGTTACAGGGCACTCCCCCAAGGTATAGAATGTCATTAACTGCGACTTCTCATTTATTCTTGGTAGTGTCTTAAACCTGGATCCGCCATGGGAATTAGGCGTTCTGACACCCAGCAGTACAATCATAGAATCATGGAAGTGTAGGACTGGAAGAAACCTCAAGAGGTCATCTAGTCCAATCCCCTGCACCCATGGCAGGACTACGTAATAACTAGACAATCCCAGACAGGTGTTTTTCTAACCTGTTCTTAAAAACCTATAATGATGGAGATTTCACAACCT